TAGGGATGCGCCAGCTTTCTCCGCTTATCTCCAGAGCATTGCTCTGGAGACGAGAGCACCGTTTTCACCCCCCTTCCTCCATTCCAGTCCATCACACTGCTGCAGGATGCTGGGGGGGCTGGTGTGGCACAGGCACAGTGGGATGGCTGCTACCTGGTGTGGGAGACTTACCAGAGCAACTTGCAACCTTCCCTGCTGGCTTCCCCATTGACTTTGCTTGTCGTAAACCAGCAGGAAAGGCTGCAAATGGCAATCACGTGACCATGGGACACTGCAACCATTGTAAGTGCAAGCCAGTTGCCCAGCGCCCAGATCTCAATCATGTGACTGTGGGGGTCCTGGGACAGCTGGAATTTCAAGGACAGGTCATAAGTACCACTCATTCAGCGCTGTCGTAACTTTGCTTGTTAAATGAATGGTCGTTAGCCAAGGACTACCTGTACGTTATGGATATAATGACATGAATATTAAGAATAGGTTTAGCTCTCTGGTTTGTTTTTGGGATAATCTCAATGATTTCAGGATGCTATCTGGGATATTTTTAGTCGGAATAATTTTATTGTAGTGCTGTGCTGAATTGCCAGTGTGTTACAAGTATTCCTCACTTAGCAACCACAATTGGGACCAGCAACTCAGTTGTTAAACAAAGCAGTCCCTAAGTGAAATCGTGACCATGCTTATGCTGTTACTTCAGCTTTCCTTTGCTTTACAGACCTGCAAAGATCGTAAATACAAGGATTGGTCATAAAGTTACTTTTTCATCACCGTCATAACTTTGAACAGTCACTAAATAAGGCAGTTGCTAAAAAAGAACTACCTATATGTAAAATGAAATTGTGCCTTTTGGGCTGCATCTCCAAGTTGATGGTCTGGCAAAGGTAGCCACCCTCAGTAAAACCCACTTTATCAGACACATGGAGCATTATCCTGAGATAAAATTATATGCACATGACAGTTGAAACTGCAGGATGGGACTCAAGATAACTTATTTGTACGTACTAGTATTTATGCAGTTTAATCCACAATCCACTAGGGGCAGGATAACCAAATAAACCAGGGGTTCCTAAACTTTTTGCCATCACACCTCCCTTTAGTGTAATCTTAAGGTACATACTTTCCTAAAAATCCAAACACCAAAATGAACAATTAAATACAATACAATGAAACTTGGAAGAGTTGGATTTATTGTAACAACTAAAATGTTCTTCACACCTTCCCTGGACTCTGTCTGCATCTCCCCAAGGGAGGTACACCTCATGCGTTGGGAAACCTGAAGTAAATAATACAGGACAAGGAAGATGAAGGAACTGGATCAAGAGAAAAGAGATTTAATTTTACTGATAGGAGGAGAAAGGTAATTAAGGTACCTTAAGCCAAGGAATGCCTTTTTTATCTTCTGTTGACACAATGGGGATGGTGGAATGGGTGTCATTTCAGTAGCAAGATGGGCAAAGTTCAACAAAAACACAATTTTGGAGAGTTAAAAGAGAAAAGAATAACCAAGTACTTCTTAGAAGCCATGGACTCTCATTCCTACAGTTGTTTTTAAAAGGAACCCAAAATTTCAGCCATGGCATCTTCTGAGTGCTGCAAATAGGGTGCTGGGGATGGGGGCAACATGTGGCCTACAGGCTGCCCGTCCCTGCCAAAGGCAATGAGCAATAATTTGTTGCCCCCATACTTAACTTTCAAGGATAGGGGACACATTTATGGGATTTATAATCTAATGGACTCCCCAACTGCCTGGTGTTAGGCCTCTGCCCTTCAACTTGGGTGATATCATTTTCTGCTCAACTTCAGGCAGCAAAATGTCTTGGGCCAATTCAGGACACCAAAGTAAAATAAAATGGAGAAAGTTAAGTAAAACAAGGTGTGAAATTAAAAGATTAACAGGAAAATCAAAGAGGAAATAGCATATGAGTAATTGATCATCATATGAGTAATTCTACTCATATGATGATCAACCAATGTACAAACTGGCAGGATAATGAGCAGAATGAAGAAATGCTGAAAGAACGAAGCATGAGGCAAGAGAACAGTGAGAAAGAAAATAAATTTATTCAGCATACAGGAAGACATAAAATCACGCAACAAATACTCTCAGCTACCAAATTGCTGATCTAATTTTTTCTCATAAAAGGAAAAATGACATTCTACTGGTGCCAAAGATAACACAATGCACTAAGTCATCCCGTAAAACCAGTTCTTGGTTTCTGTAAATATACTGACAAAGCAACAGTGGCCAAAAATGATCTAAACACACAACCTTTAGTTCTGACTCTTTGCTATTATAATTTACACATGCTCCTTTGCTCTCCCCTGGGCCCTGCTGATGGTTCTATGCATCATTAATGTATTAGCATATGGTTAAATTGTCATTTTTTAATATTATCATACAAATTGTTTTATCATACTGACATTTTAATTGATTTTTTAATTGCATTACTCACTGTTCTAATTATAGTAAAGTGGTAAGAAATTTTTAAAGTAAATATCAGCAACTGTAATAGCTTACTCAAAGGAGTATCTGAGAACTAATTAATTCATGCTTCTTTTCTTAAAAATGGATGAATTCACTTATCTTGACATCTCCCCCAAAGAAAGCCTTATGACCTTTCAGACAGAAGAGAATTACAAGTTTTAAAAAATATTTAAATATAGTTCTTCTTAAAAACAAAAGGGGCATTAAATGTAATTTTATAGTACTGTTATGTTACATTCCATTTTACAATCCACCTAGCTAACATGAAATCCCAAAGTCTCCTTTCAAAATAAATCTTGTCTGGGACATACTGCAAAACACTCTTTAAATTAGAATTTTTCAGTGGAATTAATTGCTTTTCATCAACCCAATGAATTAGCCTTCTGAGGAATATCTACCTCAAGCTTTTAACTAATGCACAAAGAAAAATACAAATCCAGTCAGTAGCACTTTATCAAGGTGGAAAAGAAATATGGATATAAATAAAATTCTGGTGGGGAAGTTTTTTCCACACATTTTATACTAGATAGTTTTTCAGGGAAGATTTTGTTTTGCTCTAATCTCAGCATGAACAGAAACAGCTTGCTACCAAACTAGCCTACGGGTCTCAGGCACACAGTGCACTAAAACATGATATGTATGAAACATAAATGTATGAAATCAATAAACAAATATAAAATTATTAATAGATTTCTAAGGCCACCCACTAGCCAAACAATTTTGGACAGCTTAGAGAGATAAAAAATAATTTAAAAACCATAAATTATATTTAAAAGGAAAAAAAAGTGCCAAGGAAAAAAAATCTCAACCCCCAATCTCAAACAACACATATTCCTATAGTGACCATATGTCCTTCATTATAAAGGACAGTCCTTTATTTCAGAAAGCTATCCTTTAGATTTATTGATTTTTCAAAAATTCATTTTTGTCCTTTATTTTGGACATTTAACTTTTACTGTACAAATGGTACCACTTAATGTACAGTCTTTCACAGTCATGTGAAAAATATGGAAATCGATTGTCTTTTTAAAATAAATTTACA